CGACTTCCGCTGTTGTAACACTGCCCCTTCCTTAGTATTGTTCATCATGAAAAATAGCCATTTACATTAAACCTATAGATAGTTAACAATAACTTGATTAAATGTACAGAATTTACAAATACAAAATTAAAATACAACAAAGTCTCTTAATTTGACAGGACGTATCTTCTTCCGTACTGGTCTCTGTATCGTTGGCTTCTGCTTCACGTGGGGTTCATCTGCTCCATCAGGAAACGTCCCATTATCGGTAACAGTCACATCAGTGGTAGTAACTTCATTAACGGCTTCACTGTTTTCCTTCTGGAAACCGGGTAGAGTTTCTTCTTCGACAGTGGCTTTTCAGGTGACACGTCTTCAGCAGAATCATTTGTTCCATTGTTCCTTTCATTCCAGCTGAAATGTCCTGGACCGTGATAACACCACCTTTGACTTACCTCGCTGACCACATTTTATCCGGAAAGTCACGTCTGAGAGATGATCAATTATGTCATATGGGCCTTCCCACGGAGAACACAACTTAGGAGACTTCCCTTTGGTCTTCCTGGATTATACAACCACACCTTGTCTCCTGGTACAAAGCTGTCTTTAGTAGATCTGTTATCATAACATAGCTTCATGGAATCAACAGACGTTTTCAAGTTTGAACGCACTTGATGGTGAATATCATCCATCCTTTCAGATAACACTTTCACAAACTCTGGCACATTTTCAGGCAACTCTTCGTAAGGTGGGCATCCTGTTATCAGGTCTACTGGAAACCGAAGTTGTTGACAAAACATCAACTTTGCTGGAGTGTATCCAGTGGTTTCATGCTCTGCTATTCTATAGGCCATCAACAGTGGAGGGAGTAAGACATCCCAGTCATTTTGGCGGCTATTACAAAACTTTGCCAATTCATGTCGCAGTGTCCAATTGTACTTTTCTACCATTCCATCAGACTGTGGGTGAAATGGCGTTGTTCTGGTCTTTTGTATGCCAAACTACTTGCAGCATTCATGGAACACAGCTGATTCAAAGTTATGGCCTTGATCCGAATTCAGTTCGTATGGCATATCAAATCTGAAGAAGAAATCGGTAATAGACGAAGCTACAGTTGTAGCTTCCTGATTTGGTATTGCATATGCCTCAGGCTACTTGGTGAAATAATCCATCACCACACAAATGTACCTGTTTCCAGCACAAGTTCGGGGCAAAGTACCAGCAATGTCTATGGCTACTCTTTCCATTGGTGTACCAACTTGATATAACTTCATTGAAGCATGTCCCCTTTTAGCATAACATGTACTGCACCATTCTTCCACATCTTGCCTCATACCTATCCAGTAAAATCTATGCCGTAGGTGACTCAATGTCTTCTTAACTCCAAGATGTCCTCCTGTTAAACTATCATGGGAATGACGCAGCACAACTTCCCGTAACTTTCTCGGTATAACTGTTTGCCAGGTTGTCACTTTCCCATCTGCAGTCTCCCATCTCCGGACAAGACTACCGTCTTCAAGCTTCAACTGGTCCCATTGTGCCCAATAGTTCTTTGTCACAAGGCTTAAGCTAGACACCTTCTCCCAAGCACGACACAAAACACTTGCTTTTAGAAAATCAATTATTGGCTTCAAATCTTGGTCTTTCTCTTGCTCTGCTTCAATATTTATACCTGGTTCCATCCCACCATCATCAACTCCTTCAGTCACTTTGACTTCAGCTTGATGGCACCTGGTTAGTTCAACCTTTCTTTTGCGGCAATATCTGCAGTCATTTTCGCAGGGTCTTCGGCTCAGTCCATCAGCATTTCCATGAGATTTTCCTTCTCTGTATTCAGTATCATAATTATACTGGTCTACATATTTGATCCAATGTGCCAGTTGTCCCTCTGGGTTATTTAATGATCTTAACCAGCGTAAAGCAGCATGATCTGTTCTGATAGTAAACCTAGCCCCATATAGGTAAGGATGGAAATATGTCAGACTCTTTACTATAGCAAGGAGTTCCCTTCATGTTACACAGTAGTTCCTCTCTGGTCTACTTAAAACCCTACTGAAGTAGGCCACCACATGTTCATTTTCGCCCACTTTCTGAGACAACACTCTTCCAATTCGACATTACTAGCATCCCAATCCAGTATGTATGGCAGTGAAGGATTTGTAAGCTTTGAAAGTAGAGGTGAGGCCAATTTTTTTTTCAACATCTTGAAAGCAGGCTGGCAAGAAACTGTCCATTCAAACTTCTGTCCTTTTTTGGTCAAATCATGTAGTGGAGCAGCTATAGTTGCAAAGTCCTTCACAAACTTCCGGCAATAGGTACAACATCCCAAGAAACTTCTTAACTCTCCCACATCGTCTGCTTTTGGACAATCACGCACTGCTTTCACCTTGTCAGGATCAGTTTACACACCATGCTCACTTACAATGTAACCCAAGTAAAGCAACTCTTTCTGGAACAAGTGGCGTTTCTTGGGATGGAGTTTGAGGTTTGCTGCTTTCAAACGCTCGAATATTTCCTCTAGCCGGGACATTTTCTCATCAAACGTTGTTGCGAACACAACGAAATCAACCAGGTACACGAGGGCTATCCTCCATTGTAGGCCTTCCAGTACTCTTTTCATCAGCCTCTCAAATA